ACAGCTAGCCGGCAGCAGTGTGCCATGGGCTCCGAGAGCAGCTCATGGGGGTGTTAAGGGGGAAGCATTTACACCACAGCCCAGCCATATCCCATCTCCTCACAGGGTGGAAAGGGAGCCCTGATGGGCACTCTACCATGGCTACTGCCGGGAAGTGGGCTGGCATCCTGTCAGGATGAAGGCTGCACTGCTGGAACTTCTGTGGGCGATTCTCCCAGATCCACTGGGAAATTGGGGTGCAGATCTCCTGTGCCTCGTGCCTGGCACTGGTGGGTGTTGGTAGGTTCAGAGGGTGCGGGGAGGCAACAGGGGGGCTTGTTGACAATCCCAAGGAATGCCATGGACAAAACAAGAGCAGTGGAGAGGGTGAGAGGCAGAGTGGGGGACTAGGATTTTTGGGATGTGCTCCCTGCCTGTAACCCATGCCTCCTCTTATGTAGACCAGATTTACAGAAAAGGGAGGGTTGCTTCTGCCGGAAAAGCAGTGGTACAGAGGCTCACAAGTGGTGCTTGTGTGAACTACAGCAACCAGACAGGAGTGCCAAACACGGTTGTCTCCAGGTTGCTGCTGGAGCTGGTGCACAGCCAGTGACATTCCAAAGCTGCAGGTGGGCATCTGGAAGGAAGCGAGAAGGCAGAGGAAGTTGGGAGGGCAAAGCAGCCAATCAGAGCACTGCTGGAGTTGGCTCTCTAGTTGCTAAGTGGATCTGGACAGCAGAGGAAGCAGACAGGAGCATTCCTCCTGCAGCAGCTGCTCTTTCTACCAGGCTCTATGGTTGCAGTATGGAAACCACACAGAAACATTATTTCTGGGTCCAATCAAACAAGCTATGGTGAAGCATGGAAATCACAGAACAGACCATTGTTTCTCTCCATGGTCACACAGAAGGCAAATTAGATTAGAAGTAAATTATTGCACTTTGCTTGAACTGATTAGATGAGCAATTCAAGTTGGTGGCCATTACCATAATCCACCGAGGCTAATTCTGTAGTTTAGCTGTGCACTGCATGCAGAATTTCTTCCTCTGCTTGTCCTGAATTGCTAACCATTCAGCTTCATTAGGTGATCCTGGATTCTAGTATTATATGGGAGTAAAGCCTCTCTCTCCATTCTATACAACACTTTGAAACCACTTCTTGTCATGCCTACACACGCCTTACTCATACTTTTAATAAATTTTGAGAGCTTCCCCCTTGCCTTATGTAACCCCAGTACTTTTTTTTCTGGAGTAAAATGCCAAATTACTTAGATTGTTTTATCAGGAGTAGATGGCAATTAAATTGCAATAAAAAGTATCAAGAGTGGTCAAACGAGAGAGCACGCTCACCCATGTGGTGCATTATATGATGCTCCAAATGTGCATCATTTTCATTGGTTTATGCAGCTTCATTCTTTGCTTTGTGTAATGCTGCTGCAGAATGCCATCCCACAAAACAACCAAGATTAGACATACTTAGCTGGATCAAACTGAGCAAGGGTGGTGGGCAGGCAATGACTCTGATGAACAGCAGTGACAAGGCAGCATTGGAAATGCAGAAGGTCTTACTAGCATCAAATTGAAGTTATTTTGCAGAGAAAAATCCTATTCACATTCAAATACCGATACCTATGGTATTCAGATATCTATGGTATTCAGTATTTTTAACAGTAATAATACTTTGGGTTTTTTTCCTCAAGCAGATATGCTTGAAGTCCACAAAACATGTGTCTCCCTTTCAGTTGAAATCTTCCAGTGAATGTTGAACTTTTTTCTCAATAAATGTTACACGGCAATCTACATCTTCTGGCCATTGCTTAGAAGCCCATTTGGCTAAATCAAATTCTCCATTATCCAGCAGCCCTTTTGCAATAAATGCTTTCATATTGTCATAGAAACCCTTTGCAGATTGCATGCTTTTTCTTGTGTTTCTGTAGAGGTTAATGTCTTTCAAGGTTAGAGTTTCTGAAACATTGATAGCATTTTCATAGTATGGTTGGTGACATTTCTTTCTGTGCTCAGATATTCACCAATATTTTCTATCTTTTTTACTGACTTAGCATAAATTGGTATCATGTTCTTGTAAATCTGTTCTGAGTTTTTGGAGAGCATCACACATCAATCCTATAACCAGCAGAAATTAGACTAAAGTGTTCTTCATTTGTAAACGCTTGTTCACAGACCTCTCTTTTGTCTCTGTTGCAATCATTTTTGCTTTCAACAAAATGAAGGCCCAAAGGCTTCATAAACATCCAACAAGGCAGACACTGATCTGAAACTAGAAGCTACCCACCTTGTGCTTCATATTCTTCCACTTGTTAATAAGTTTAGTTCCAGCTTCTTTGTATGTACATGTAAATCTCAAAGTGTGGTACAACATACAATTTGGCAAAGACTGATTTGTATTGGTTAATTCAAGAGACACCATATACAGCATCGCTCACTGAAAATTCCAGTCTATGACTGACAATATGTCATACAACAGGAAAATCTATCTTTCAACGATTTCTTAACCCCAGAACCATTTTCTAACATCACAGGTGCACAATCACAACAGAAACCAATATTCATTCAGATCATCTTCTGTCATTCCTAAAGAATGTAATTGTTGCAGTAACAAGCTGAAAATACTTCTTCTCATGACATCATCTAGTTCTATCAAGCCAAGAAACAAATTTACAAGGGGCACTCCTGGCACATTTTGGAACAAGAATTAATTCATCCAAAATCAATGTAGATGCTTTATTAATGGTAGTTGATTCCTCAGTGATGGAGCGCTTGCTATTAGATTTCAAAATTCTTTTGATCAAGCTATTTCTCATTTCACAAGCTATGTGACTGACAATGTAGCTGCAGATATTAAGTATATAACTGATGCATTCATTTCCTGAAAGTTAATTTCATCTTCAGAATTATTTTAAAAAACCATTATTCTGGCTACCTTATACATTGTGCAAAATACCTTAACGGTGATATACTTTTTCACAAGAGATGGATTTCATAAATACTTTCTCCTGAGTTTTCTTCTGAGCTTCTTTCACTAACTTAACAGAAGCTTTATGACATGGACTTTCTTTACAGTCAAAAATTTTTTCCTTAAAGACAGCAACATCATAAACAGAGATTTCATAATTTGCCCACTCTTTAGTTATTTTCATCCCCATTTTCCTCTCAACTCCAGGTGTTCCAACATTTTGGCCCTGAATGCAACCAAGTTTCTCATTTTTATAGTCAGTCAGCCATACTTATAGCAGTAATTGCTGATTTGTTCAAATATCCAACAGCTTGTACTTAGCACAGGAAGATGTAGGTCCCATTGGAATTTCATTTGCTTTCACTGTTTCAGTTCTTCACATAATTTCTGTTTCTTGGCACAGGAAATGAAAACTAATTTGTGATTTTTTCATAATGCCTGCTATCATCCTTTGGACACAAAAGATTGCCCATAAGTACATGAAACAAAGCAGCCAGATTCTGATGGAAGGTGACCTGGAGGCCCTGTTGGGGAGAGCAGGGCCTTGGTCTGTGAGAATTGTAAAACAAGGCTGAAGACCAAGTAAGGGGTACAGCAGCTCCTTCTGCCCAAAGGGCATATTTCATTCTAGAGCAGCTTTTGGGGACACATTCCACTGGGGGACAAGGCAAAGGGGGAAAGGGAGCTAGAACCAACATACCAAGAACACCAGCACATTTTAGTGCAAATGTTCTATTAAAAATAAGCAAACCTCAGGAAAGGCATTTCAGCTGAATGGGGAAAGAAACGGCAGAAAAATAAGAAATCATCAAATGATCTGTGATCAGGGAGAGTCAGAGAACAAGGTTTGGTCTTCTGAGGAATGCATTCAGACCCCAGGAGCACAAAATTTGGCCCATGGGCCTGAGGTCCTGTGAATTAGCCCTACCAGTAAAAGCCACAATCAGTGAAAAGTTGCCAGTGCTTCATTGTCACAGTGTCCTTCATATGTGGTTCTACCACAGCACTGATAGTCCTCAAACCTGGATTTATCTCAGTAACATGCACATCTGCTTGGAACTCAACCTTGAAGTGCTGCTTCATTCTCCCAGGTATACAAATGCACAGATTATAGTTCCTGTGTGTGAAGTGATGCAGTCCAAAAGCTCCTGATTCACTGCATGCAACACATGACCTGCTTTAAGTGTGGGATTTTCTCATAGCAAACATTAGGACTGTTGCTACTGGTAATTTTCTTTGAAATGCCTGCTTCTTTATCTAACCTCCTCCTTGCAAGTTCAGAAAAAAAGAAAAGGAAACTTCCCCAGTAACCAGTCTGGCTGTTGCATCTTGTACTGCAGGGTGCAAGACAGTGGGTACAGATTCCAGCAGCTCTTGTCAAGAGCTAATGGACTTTTGTTACCAGATACTGAGAAATTTCTAGGCATTGGATTCACAATTGCTAACACAAGATATTGAACTTGAGATTCCAGATGCTGTCATAGCATCTTAATTATGCTGCTGCAAAAGCTTTCCATGATCTCCAGGATCTGCACAGCTCATGCCAGATGTCCATTTCTGCAGAAGGGCCTTCCTGCTTTTCCTTCCAGTAATTGTCCTTCCCCAGTGCAAATGCAACCTTCCCATAATTGCAGTTCAAAATATCTGAAGAGCACCAAGTTGGGGAAAACTGCACTATGGCAAAGCACAGATTGGGTACCCCAATGTCTGTTCACACCATAGCTAAAGGGCCAAGAAACAAGAAGGTTTAAAGCAATGACGGTGACTGTGGGCCTGGCTAAACAGAGTAAAATGTGCCACTGCAGCCCATGTTGGCCATTTTGAGAATTTCAAGGTGATGGCGGGGATGAAGGAAGAGTATGATGGGAGCTCTGTGATCTTGAAATCTTTCCTACTTCAAGAGACAAGCAAGTAATGTTAAGGCACTAACCTTGCCAAATTCTTGATCATGCAACATAGTATACCTGTGTACGTATCCTGCTTCAGAAACCCAGATACCCTTCAGGCCACAAACTCCCCCTTGGATCAACAGCAGGCACCAGAGGAACTTTCAGTACAAATTTACCTCCTTTATTACAAGTTACAGAGAGACGCAATCTTGAGGCCAGCTGCCTCCAAGGGACAGGGCTGTAACTAAAGTGTTAAGCTAGGAAAGTGCTAGAGACTCTCGCCCCCTTCGCAAGAGGAGCAGGAAGCATCTGCTAAGGAACTGCCTGCTGCTGCTCCTCTCCTCCCCACCCGTTCTCCCCAGCAGCAGAATATGCAGGATTGCACATGGATTACAAGAGGCTGCTTCATTCACACCACCAATTAGAAAAGAACTTATTTTGAGCCTCTAGACCACCCAGATTTGTGGAATGGAGACACTGATAAGGTATCAGGGGGCTGGGGAGAACCACCCATGCCAGGTGAGATTAAAAGTCCGTTTAAAAGGAGGAGAGAGTAAGAGCACTAACAGTGCCACTTAACGTTTTCCCTCCAATCATGCTGCCCACAGCAACCCCCACAAGCCTGCATGGCTCTGTGCCCTGAAACAGCAGAGGGAGCCCCAAAATCAGAAGTGACTCAGACCCATGCCATGCCAGGGGAGTGATGTTGAGTCTGTGCCCGCTAGTCCCGCCTCAGGTTCTTTAGTCGTTCCTCGAGATCAGCATCTGCATCAGCGAGAGCAGCTGAGGCCTCGGCTTTCTTCCCTCCTGCCACGCTCAGGGAACCGCCAGTTGAAGGTAGGTCTGCAAGGGAAAAGATGGAGTCTCTGTTGACATAAACACACCTGATTCTCTGCATGGTCTCAGCACCAGCAAGACACCTGGTCGTATTGTAAAGGTGGCAGCAGCAGCAAGGTCAATACAGTGACAGAGGCACAGAGGTCTGCCTGCATGAGAACCAGCCTTAAGCCAGAACGAGGAACAAACGGTCCTCTACATGTTGGACTGCAACTTCCATCATCCCTCAGCATTGACTCCACTGGCCAGGGCTGATGGGACTTACAGTCCATCATCATCTGGAGGGCCACACATTCACTACCCATGCCCCTTAGCTTCAAATGGGCATTTTTTCATCTTGTTTACATCCTTCCATTTATGTCCTAATTTTTCCTGAATTACATTTTTCCAGAGGCTTGCCCCATATATGGGAGCTTCATCCTGCTTTGTTTCACACTGCTGGGACATTATTCTCTAGGAATTAGGTGATACAGATGAAAATCTCAGAGTGTTAAATAAGAAAAAATGCAATAGAGACATCAGATTAGCCCAGCTCCTGGTGGTTAAGATTTGGAATCCCTGCTCACTTCAATTTAAGAATGTGGTCTAGTGGTAGCTGTTGTCTTACTCCTAAAAACCACCTCGGAGCTGGGTCTGAGCACAGCTCAGTGGCTCAGCTGGATCCATGTCTTGGCTCATAATGTAACTTCTGCAACTATGATCTTAACAGTCATTCTACAGCCCTCCTAGGGTTGAATTCTCTAACTGGTTTCACAAAAAGTTAAAAACTCACACTCAGGGTTGAGATTGGGTTGAGTGTTGGTTGTTGGTAAATTCTGGGTTGTTGTGGAAACATGGGTTATCATGTTTTCTGACACCAACTATGCTAACAACTATGGTTTGTTAACCACACAGTTGACAACAACAAACTATGCTTTTCTTCATTGATTGATTGCAGTTAAAAACACAGAAACACAGCTAGCCAGTGTAGCTGGGCTCACAGGAGACAGCAACCCATACTCAGCTTTGATTGTGGGTTGCCTTGCATGAATCCTTTCTGTGGGATATGCACTTATCTGCAAGAATCATACAAGCTGTGGCTGTTTACCATGCCATACTCCTCCTCCCCCTCCAACCTCCATTATACCCAAATACTCACTGGAGAGCTCATCTGTCAGTGTCAAACCCAGCTCATCCAACACCTGGGAGACAACAGCATCACTGCCAATGGAAGAAGACGCGTGAGAAGGAAGGAAGGATACATCAACAGAACCTGCCCACCGCTTTCCCCATCCCCACACCCACACGAAGGAGGAATTCACTTATTTGGTGGGAACAGAATACGAGATTCACATAGTAGGGAGTTTACAACTAACTACTATTTTCTCTGAAATTGCTACACTACACAGACATGCATGGACATAAGCACTTTTACCCCAGGAGTAAATTTCAGGGATAAAGCTAGAAGGAAAAGCAGCAGCTTCTCTGGAAGGTTTCAAAAGTCACCCTCTCGTCTCCTTAGGAGATTTGCACATTGTGACAGTGGCAGCATGAACCCCTTTCTCCTTGCTACCACATGCACATGTTCCTTCCAGAAACTCCAGTACCAACTTGATGTGGCTTATCCAGATTTCATAAGACGAGAGCAGGAAAACAAGTGCAGAAGCAGCTGTCCTTGTGACATGATGCATCATGCCGGCACACTTGCCATCTCCTGGATGTACCAGCTAAGCATGTATGGGGCACACGCTCAGTCAACTGCATGCTGCCTCGCTTCCTTCCCAGCCCCAGGACCTACTCATGACCCTCCACACCTTTCCTCCTCATCTTCCTCATCACCCATGGCATCATCAATAGCATCGTTCATCATCTCTTCCTTCATGTCCATGATTTCCGACTGCTTCTCAAATTCCATCATGATCTTCTGGATCTGGGGCAACTTGAGCTGAAAGAAGCCAAGAAGGCATGTCATGACAACACTTCAGAAAGAGAAAGACCTGCCTTTCACACTTGTGAGAAAAATGGCAGGGAAACATGAATCACATATTTAAACGTGGCAGATAGAGAGAAAGAGGTAGGGAGGCAAATTTTTCATTTTTAAAGAAGCAGTAACTCCAGAGGTCACAGCACAAGCACTTCAACACTATCCCCAGCAGGCTTGGACACTTCAAGGTTGTGACCAAGTACACTGTCCCAGAGTCCAACTGTTTCTGCTGATGTCTGGGAAACACAGACCCAAACTTATGGCCCTAACTTCAGAAGCTTGAGCTCAGTGCAACCTTCTATTTCATGTTTTCAGCCTAGTAGCCACAGCTTAACCTCCATCAACATTCCTCAACTGAAGAAACAATATCTTTGTCTCAGCTCTGCAGCCTGCACATCCTGTTGCAAAAAAGAGAATGTAAGCAACTGCCTTATACTCAGTTGACACAAAGTTGCTTGCTCCAACTGGAGCTACTCTTCAGGGACTCAGGCAGAGGAAGGGTCTTCCCCATCATCTGCTACTGATCCTTTGAACTGGAGGTGACAGACTGACCCTGGGACCTTTTGTGTGCAAAGCAAGTACTCTGCCACCAAGCTCTGGTCTCTTTCTGAAACTGGATTCTACCCAACAATCATAAGAACATTAAAACATAGAGCTTGAGGAAATGTTACAAAAATCTTTGGCATTTAAACCTGAAGTTTTCTTATTAGGCATTATACCTGATGTTAGCAAACAAGCAATGTATCTGACTCTACATGTAATCTCCGCGGCAAGGACTGCATTTGTCCAACACTGGAAGTGTGAAGAGCCACCTACCGACAAACTGATCCTAAAAAAGATCTTGGACTGTGCAGAAATGGACAGACTGACTTTGTCATTGAAGGAGAAAGAAGACACAGACTTCTATCAAACTTGGGACTCTTTTTATTATTGGCTAGAGAAACGGGACTTCACATAGATTTAAATATGTTTGTAATTTAACATAAAAAGAAAAAATGTGGGGGGTTGACCCAATAGGTCTGATGTTTCCGATGATTGGTATTGTTTTTAGTTTTTCTTTGTGTTAGGTTTATTTAGAATAAAACTTATTAAAAAAAAGAACATTAAAACATAGCGTCAGACCAAGGGTCCATCTAGTCCAGTATTCAGGAGTCCAACAACACCCTCCTGCCCATGTTCCCCAGCAACTGGTATACATAGGAACAGAAATAGCCCTATGCTGGAAATAGGATATATCCTTCAGGACATGTATCTGTTGATGGCCTCCTTCTTCCTGAATTTGTCCAGTCCGCTTTTAAAGCCCTCCAAATTGGTGGCCATCACTATATCATGCAGAATGAAATTCTATAATTTAGCTATGAGCTGTGCGAAGAAGTATTTCCTTTTATCTGTACTGAATCTCCCACCAGTCACTTCATGAGATAAACCCAGCTCAAGCAGTACAGGAGGAGGAGAAAAATGTCTTCCTATCCACTTCATCTACATCTTTATCATGCTTAATTCTGGTCACCTTTATTATGTCTCTCCTTACTCAGTTTTTTCTAAGCAAAACCATTTCAGCTGTTGTAATCTTTCCCCATAAGGGAGTTGTTCCAGTCCCATAACTGTTTTAGTTGCCCTTTAGTTGCACTTTTTCCATCTTTACAATATATTTCTGAGGTGCAGTGAAGAGAGCTGCACACCACATTCTATGGTTGCACCATAGATCCGTATACAGTGAGTGTGATATTAACGATTCTGTTTTCAATTCCTTTCCTAATTAGGTCAAACATGGAGGCTGAATGCTTAACAACTGCCTGAATTGACCTGAACATGACCTACCTGTCTGTTCATGGTGGCCATGGCTTTGGTGACTCCCTTCATTGCCTGAGCCATAGAGTTGTTAGACTTGAGAGTTTGTATCTTGAGGGACACGGCTTGAATGTTAGCTCGCATCATGATGAACTTCTTGACATAGCGCCTTGTCCGCACCAGGTCTTTAGCCATGATCTTCACAGCATCCTAAGAGCAGAGAAATAAGTTTGCAACAGGATCACAATTACCTTCCAGTGGCAATTATTCCATTTATTCCTTTTCTGTACTGCCCAATAGCCAAAGCTCTCTGGGCACTTGACAAAGATTAAAAACCTTTAAAACACAAAGCTGTATATAATATAGAACCAATTTTATACATATAAACACACATAAACATATGTTAGATTACTTTTAACCACTGACAGTACGAGACCTGATTAGTTCTATCCACCTTCTACTACCCTCTTTCTCCCAAGCTTACCATCTGCCCCTGTTTGGCCATTTTCTTGATGTCAGCAATGATCTTCTTCTCTTGGGTTTCTAATTTCTGCCGCTCACGGTCCAGCTCTCGCATGGCACGATTCAGTGCCCGTTGATTTTGCCGCAGCATCTCCTCCGGGGTCTTCCGACGCCCAAAGAGCATATCCATGGTAGCAGAAGATGAGTCAGCCTACAACTGTCAAGAGAAAAAAAATGAAAGAATTAAATGGTCAAGAAGTGAAAGTAATTCTGACAAGAGTGTAACACCATTGAATGGGAATAGTGGGAAACAAAGAGAACTACAACCAGAGTGCAACAATGAATACATCACAGTAGGCACCTAAAAAGTGCCCATAAGAAGAGATGAAGATTTTTTCTTAGTGTTTGAAAAGTGTATGGCCATTAAAACCCAAACAGAAAATCAACTCTGTCCAATTTGGCTCATCTAGCTTTCTGGAAGTAGAAAACATGAATTTTAGGTCTGGCTACCATTTGGTATCAGGCTTAAGCTAAAAGGAAGCTCACTTGCTCTGTTATCAACTGCTTTTACTGCTTGCTTACCAATAAAGTCAAGAGAAAAACTACAAACATTAAAATGTATACGGATTTATTATGTGAGAATAGAAATATATCACATTCCAAAACTAATTTATTACCCAACCCATCCTCTCTCCTCCTGCTATATGAATAAACTTCATGAAGTAAAACAACACAAAATGAAACAATGTGAGAAAGAAACACACACACACATTCAACTATAAAATAAAGAAGCAATTCTCCAAGACTTGTACAGATTCCCAAGATCAGGCAAAATCATCCATTTCCAACATACAACAAACAATTTAAAGGATTATTCCCACCATCCTGAGCTTCTGGGGAGCAACAGAGCAATACTTTTGAAAAACCATCTCTCTGCCAGAGGCTGTGGGCCACTGACTCAAATTAGTGACCTGCCCAAGGCACAGCCTGTGTTGCATCACAACGCCTGAAATCACAATGCTGCTGCAAAGAGCTGGGGCCAATGACATATCAAGAAATGCTTGCTGGGACAGGGAGAGGAGGTTGTATAGTTACAAAAGTAATATCTAGAAATGCACCCTCAGCCCCCACAGAGACTTTTGTTGTTTTACAGCCAAAATCCAGCATATGTTTCTGCTGTCTGAGAAGAATACTATGAACTCAGAAATGAAGTAACGTTGATTATATATCTAACATAGTTAAGGGACCCCACATCTAACACTGGCCTTTTTAACAAGACCACCTTTGTACCCCATAATCCCACACACACACATATGCAGACACAAATAATAACTCCCTGGAGATTCACTCAAACCTGAATCAGAGTACCTCTTGGTACCAAGCTATATAAAGAAGTTTCACTTGAGTTGGGCTGGACTTTGGGGAGGGCCAGCATTAGAATGACGGTGGCATTCTTAATTATATTATGCTTTCTTCTTTTATTGGAACAAGCCACCATACCAAGTAAGGCCCTTTGTCCCTGGGTCACTCCCTAACATAACCAAGGAAACAGAGCCCAGAGCAGGGCTTTGTGCAGATGAAGGGATGGGGCAATACAGACAGGTTTTCATAACGATTCGCATGTTTTATGTTGTAGGAACAAAGCTACAGTCTGGGAAACGCTAAGAGAAACAGCCCCTTGAAGATCTTGACCTCTGCTTACAGAGATTGGGTCAGGCAATGTTTCTCAGAAGTACATGTCACACACACTGAATTCTTACTATACAGACCCTCCACTACTTCTTAAATCAAGATTTTTCTTCCTTTCCGCCTGTGTGTAAAGCAGCTAATTATCTGCTCAAAGCCTTCAGGATAAGAAAGAGAAAAATCCAAAAAGAATGCACACCTATCTAAATATGGATACATGAGAGCCTACTGTGGTGCCCATTAGACAAGCCCGGGATAGAAAATGGCCTGCAGTCTGCAGATGGCCCAACTCTTGCATATTTGCACAAGTCATCTTACAAGATCACTTAATGCAGTGTAGTTCCTATGTCACCACATGCAGTTACATTCATTATTTAAAAGAAGACGTCAGCTCTAGGGAAACCCCTTCCAAATCAGTGTACAAAAGCCAGATCACATTATACGCACAGCCAAGTAGGCCAAGGTAAAGAGGTAAGTATTAAGGAGGACGCTTGATGGATGTCAATCAGGACAACGTTCCACAAGATGAGGGCACCAAGAAAGCCCTCTCTCTCATTCCTGTCGGCCTAACTGCCCTGAGAGCCTTGCACACAAGCAGGCCCTCCAGGGTTGATCTGAGAGTGTGGACTAAGTGATATAGGTGGGGAGAGTCCTTCATGTAAGATGGACCTGACCTGAACTATTTAGGCTCTTTAGAGCTCTGAAAGCCAATTCCGGCACATTAAACTACGCCTGCAAATGCACTGCTTGGTAGGGCAACTGAAAGCAAATCCATATTGATGGATCTAAACTAAAAGGAAATACTTACAAACACAGTTTGAAAGGCTTTTATTTCACCATCTGTGTTTAGGCTGAGCTGGTAACTGCTACCATCCTCACTTCCACTTTAACAGGGGTAGAACATTAACACTGGCTGGCAAACCAGGGTTCTTTCCCTGCAGTCTCCTTAGCAACCCATCCAAGGCCAAATTGTTTCTGCATAAAACAAGAAATCCTGACAAGGAAACTCCTGCTTTCAGTTCCTAACTGAAGAATCCATCAGTGATTTGACAGAACTCTCAGCACTGTATTTTTGTAAGCATGTGTACATGCTCAGATTCAAAACCTTACGCTGCCTTGGAAGCCTTACCTAAAAGACAACATAAAAATACAAAAAAAGAAGCAAACAGTAGAGGATGCACTGATGTCATTTTTAAAAATAGGACATAAGAAACTGAAAAGCCTTTAAGCATGGCAAGGCAAGTTTAAATAAGGTACTTACCAATACCTCTCAAAACACAGCAATAGGATCTAGGAAACTTTCCAAACTGGCACCCTTCAGATATGCTAGAATTGCATTCCAGCACATCTGAAGGTCACCAAATAGAGAACACTGATCTGTAAGATTTGTAGATTCCCTCAGTCTTGTGAAGGTTTGATGCCTAAATTAAGGACTGTAGTACTTTCATGTATCATATTTCTATCCCACCTTTTTCCTACAAGGAGCCCAAGATGGTTTATATAATCCTCCCACAAACATGTGATGCATTTTAGGCTGAGCCTTAGAGGCTGGTTCAGACAGTAAACTTTATAGCCAAGTAAGAACTAAAACCCAGGACTCTTGGAATACAGCACTCTAAGCACTTCGCTACACTAACTCTTTATTTATTGATTTATTTGAAATGTGGGGAAAAGAGTCTCAGTCTCACCCTCTAACATTAGAGAGAACCTTTTTTTTGCTAGGTTAGGTTCAGTTTCAGAGGAGGTCTTGAGGGCCACATTTCAGCAGTGGGCAGGGCTGACGACAAAAAGAACAGGGTCAGAATACCCAAAATACCAGCTTTAGGTGAGGCATTTCAGCCTTTTACACCGGCAGAAAATCCCACGAAACCTGGAAACCACCGAATGGTGGTGATGGGTGGATTTAGGCAACTTTATTTTCCTTTTAGAGGTTTCTCATTCTTGCCTAGAATAGCGACAAAGGAACTACTACTAAACCCTTAACCCATATTAGTATAAAGGAAAATAAACCAGGTCATGGAAGGGGGATGAGCCACCCATCCTTCTCGGTCGACGCCCTCGGCCCCCGCAATCTATCCCCGCAACGGGGCTGCCTACACCCCCACCCTCCCACCTACCACTGACGGACCCCAACCTCGCCCATTGCCCCCCTGCCCAAATACCAGAACAGGTCGTCTCTATGGTAACCCCGGCGTAGAGAAGCGCCCCTTGCCGAGCAGCTGCAGCCTCAAGCCCTCCTTTCCGCTCCTCTCTTTTACTCTCTTCCGCCTTGGCCCGCTGACGTCACAGGCGGGCGGGGCGTCCTTGCGTCAGTGTCACGCGGAAGAAGGAAGCCGACTGCGCATGGGCCGGGCTGGCAGAGGGGATGGGGAGAGAGGTTGGGACCTCTCGCGTCAGCTCAGGATTTATCGGCACTTCCGGTTCAGGGTAGCAGCTGGTAACAGCAACATGAAACGTGTGAAGAGGATCATTTCAGTCTAATACAGCTGTCATGGGCAAGGCATTTTGGAAGGCGTTCATCCATAGGATTGCTTTAAGTCGGACACATAACAAAGGGAAAGGCTATTTTTAAATATCTCCTCGGGATGGCAATGAGAACTTCCCGTAGAAAACGAGAAGCTCATCCCAGGATTTTACCGTAATCGTGTCTGGTCAGCACCATGCCCACATACCAGCTAGCACTGAAGACTGGAATTTGTGCTTTTTTCTGATTTGGATGTCAAGCTGTTGTTTCTTTTTTAAAGCTCTTTAACATTTCTTCTTCAGTACCGTCGGACAGTTCCCGGGGATTTAAAAACGACTTTCCATGTGAATCCAGAAATTCAGCCAATGAATGGCTCGTTCTAATCTGCCTTATCTAGGTACAGAATTCAGATCTCTCCTGGAGCACTGAGCCCAGCGCAAAGGGCTAAGAGCGTGATGTTTCTGTCACGTGGAGAGAGAGATGAGCCTCCTTTTGTCAGAGGAATATACTTGCATATACCTTACTTTAAAGCAATCAAAACATGGAAATGCTGTTAGCTTGCCCGCTGCTTCTCTTCACAACTCATCCTGTCAAGCTATTCTGTAGCCTGTATCCCACTTTAATCCTATTTGGAGTAAACCCATCAAAATGAACGGGACCTAAGTTACACTAACATTGCTCCAACCTTGTGCCTGAAATTCCAGTGAAGCAAAGACCTGTGCAAGTTTGTTTCTTAAGTATTCTCATCAGAATGACTGTTAAACAAAACAGCATTTATTCTTGTCACAGCACATTTCAACTGTTCAATGATGGGATTCATGCCCACCAGTTGAAGTGATTGCCACCACCTTACCTAGCTTTAAAAGAGGACAGGACAATTCCATAGCAATAAATCTGTTGATACCTGCTAATCCTAATGGCTACATGCTGCCTCCCATATACCAGTTGTGAGGAATATGAGATGGTCCTGTTGCAATCATGTCCCTGCTTATGGGATTCCCTAGGATAGCTTGTTGGCCACTGTGTGAACGTAAGTAGAAAAAATAATAGGCAACATAAGAAGAGCTTATCTTAATTTTTTCTGCTACATCAGCTATGAGCCACCAGCATTCTTTAAAGTTTGAAAATACAGTTGCAGCAGGTAAGGTCACTGTTCTAGTTACACAACTCAAAACTTTTTAAAGGGTTTTAATCAACCTTCCCAGGGACCTCTTTTACACATATGGACCCCTACTTAATATAACAAGAGCACTGCAAGAGTAAGCGAAGTGCCTTGCAAAAGGATTCACCACAACCCCTTTGACTTTTCCACATGTTGTTGTGTTACAACCTGGAACTGAAACAGACTTAACTGGCATTTTTACCACCTGATGTGCACAAGACACTCAAAGAAGGTGCAATTTTTGTTTGCTTGTTTTGGTAGCACAAAAGTAAACAAAAACAAACTGACACTTGGTTGCGTAACTATTCACTCCTCCGAGTCAATACTTGTTAGAAGTACTATGGCAGCAATATCAGCTTTGTGCATCTGGATTCTGCAATGTTTGTTCACTCCAGCTAGACCATGTTCTATCGTGACTGTTGGCAAACAGCAAGTTTCAAGTCCTGCCACAGGTTCTCACTGGAAGTCTGGGTTTTAGCCGCCCCATTCAAAGACAAACTGGTCCTTGTCTCTAATCACTCCAATGTTACTTTGGGCTGTGTGTTAAGGTCACTATCTTGCTGGAAGGTGAATCTCCATCCCAGTCCTAGGCCTCTTCCAGGACTGGAACAGGTTTTCTTCTAGACCTACCCTATATTTGGCTCCACTGATCTTGGCACAATCCTGACCAGTTTCCCAATGCTAAGGAAAAGCTTTGCCACAACATGATGCTGCAATCAGCATGCTTCAGCTTGGCGATGGTGTTCTTGGGGCAATCATAGAGTCATCGAATAGGGAGTTGAAAAGGGTCAAGAAGGCCATTAGGTCCAACCTCCTGCTATTGCAGGTCATCAGTTCATATCATTCCACTCAGATGGCTTGTTCAGCTTCTTTTTAAACACTGTTGGCTTAGCACCATGCATGTTTTCCAAGTCTACAAAAAGTTGTTTTGGTCCCATCAAACCAAAGAATACTTTTCCACGTTTTCTGCATCTCCCACATGCCTTTTCGTAAACTCCAAATGGGATCTGAGAAGGGTTCATTTCAGCAATGGTTTCTTCACACCACTCTTCCATAGCCAGCTTTGTGGAGCATCCAAGTGATAGTTCTCCCATCTCAGTTATGAATCTCTGCAGCTTCTTCATCACCTTGGTTGCTTCTCTAACTAATGCCCCCTTTACCAAGTAACTGAGGTTTGGTTGATGGCCTTCTTTAGGCAGTTGAGCCATATTCTTTCCATAATGATTTAACAGGTCTCTGGAATATGTTCCTGGTTTGGGATTTTTTAAACTCAGCCCTGATTGGTGCTTCTGCACAAGCTTATCTGAGTTGCTTTGACAGTTCCTTGGTCTTCCTGATGCTATTTGTTTTGATGTACTCTTGACCAAATTGTGGAGCCTTACCAAAGTTTTATTTAAGCCTGAGATCGTGTGGCACTGGGAATTGCACACAGGACTCAATTCAACTACTTAGACTATGTGGCTTCTCATAGTCAGTGAGCCGCACTAGAATTTAGGCATGTCACAGCAAAGAACCTGAATGCTTATGCAACCAACTGCCAGTTTGCTTCTACTTACCTTTATGTTCCCTAATATCTCACACCTTCATAGTGTTAAGGATCTAGTGTACATCAAGTGGTTACAGTGCAATTAATTTCAATTCAAGGTGGTAACACAACAAAATGCAGGGGATAGATACTTCTGCAAGGCATTGTAAGCTTCCCTGATGAAGTGTCTTCTAGATGTGTTGGACCACAGCTCCCAGCATCCCCCAGCCATCTACCCCAGCATTCAAATTTCCAGTCAACAGTCAAATGCATCTAGGAAGCCCTCAGCAGGACATGAAGTCAAGAGACCATCCACTGACACATTTGAACATGTGTCCTGAAGCAACATGCCTTCTGCTGGTGACAGAGGAGGATACAGAAGCAATAATAATGGGAATGGGGAAGAGGAGGAAACAGATGGGGGATGAAATTGAAATACAGAAGTAAAAGCTAGAAAATTATGGAATAATCTTTGTTGCCACATGATGCCCACAGTATTTTGTTTTTAAGCCAAGAGTGATCAGGGTCCCCTTGATAATGATAATGCCTTCCATGATCAAACAACTTTGTGCTACTGAGAAAGTCAATTCAGAACCATTAAAGTTTATAGCCTAGAGAAGTCAACTTTCCCCACCACTGGGCCCTTGTTAACTATTTCCAGTTTGCCTTGAGCTCTTCATTGATTGATTCAAGCTCTGGAAGAAATTTTCAGATACATGTCAGAAGAATTGTCCCTCATGCTGACTTGAGGTCCCGTTTGTAAACTCTTAACTTCCAGCAATAGGTCAGGCAAAGAAACCTCCAAGTACAAAGAAAAAGGGAAACAAACCGTATAATTATCCGTTTTAAACTAGGTTGAGATTCAAAGTAGACTTCATAATCATACTAAGCTTGATGCATTGCTGCCTAGAAGGTTCTGGGCATGACACTCCAGTCCAAGGGTGCCAGAGAGGACTGCTGCTTTTATTCCACAAATACTATGGTGCAAGGCATCATTGATATTTTAAAAAACTATTTAAAAATACTAACATCAGAGATCAGAAAGCCCACAAAGCAGGTGGTATCAAATTACTTGTGAATGGAGCTCCTCTCCCTTCCACCTCTTGCAGGCAAACTTATCTGTTGTAACAAAAGACCATTTTGTACAATATATTGTTGTGTGTTGTCTTGTCATCGCCAACCTATGGGGACCCTGTATGAATGCCCTCCAAAATGCCCTTGACAGCCCTGCTCAGCTCTTGTAAATAGCTGTGGCTTCCTTTAGTCTTCCTCTTCTGCCTTCAACTTCCCCTAGCATGGTTGCCTTCTCCAATGAATCTTGCTTTCTTGATGTTCCTGAAATAAGAAGCTTCAATTTTATCATTTTTATTTCAGGGAAAGTTCAAGCTTGATTTGATCTAGTACACACTTACTTGTTTTACTGTCAGTCCAGGGTATTAACACAACTCTCTTCCAGCACCATGTTTCAAAATCATCCATTTTCTGCCAGCTTTCTTCATTATCCAGCTTTCAGAACCATAGATAGTGACCAGGAATACAATAGTGCAAATGATCTCTTGGCCTTGGCTTCCAGCAAAACATCCTCATGCTTGGTATTTTTTTTCTAGTTCTTTCATTGCTGCCCTTACAAGTCTCAGCTTTTTTCCAATTTCTTGGCTGTAGTCTCCATTGGAATGGATGACTGAGTCAAAGTATTCCAAATCTTTCAGTTTCAATTTCTTTGTATTTTACTTGCACAATATATTACTTGCTTTCAAAATCATAGTTTCAAATGGTTGAATCCAAATCTCACTCTAGGACCCAATAAAAACAGGACTTAAATCAGCCCACGACTTAGTCCCACTGATGTCAATGCCTATTTCAAAATGTGACTAAGTTTGGATCCAACCCTATTGGAGTGGGGATTAATGCACAAAATCAGTATCACATTTGCTGCACTGTAAGCAATGCTAGTGTTTACTGCTTGTTACAGATCACACCTTCTCATTTTAAAGTATTCCCAGGGGACACATAGCTCATAGCATAGCAACACCGCTGTACAGTATTTCAAATCACCAGGCACCAGCAACAAGATGGCATTTCTCTCTCTGATGTAGAAAAAAGGAATTTCCTAAGAAGGAAGAACAGACTATCACCAGTGGGATTTATTAGAATGAAAGATCCTTCTTAGGGCCTACAGCACAGAATGGTCACAAAGTGGGGCATGCTCAGTATGTCAGGACAAAGCATGACGATGTTCAAACATGCACACAGGAACTGCTTTATCAATTGGCAGAGTTGCACTTGTATTAATAATGGGAGGGGAATGGAAGAGAGTTATGACAGGCAGACCTGTCTCCAGCAAGTCTGTCAAGGCTGAGTAGCAAGTTCGTAAGCATGAGGTCAACTAGGCAAAAATACAGAACATGAGAACTGCGACAGCCACCTTGCAGAGCTGTTTTCCCTGCCCCCATGTCCATGTCACTAACGTTCAAACACAAGAATTCAAAAACCTTTGGTTACCAAGCTGCCCCTCAAAAGCCCACCCTTCAGGCACCGAGCCATCTCTTCAAAGATACCGCAGGTATTTATTCAACAATGACTTATATCGGACACTTAAAATATCACCTTTCAAGGGGATGGGGAATTTGGTCATAAAGCTGCCACTTACCAATCCCTGTACAAAGTACTATGCTCACATTCACAGTGCCAGCAGAGGCTGAACACTCAGAGGTGCCTCCTAAAATCCCTTCAGGCATTTAGGATGCAATCCTATTCCCATTTAGCTGGAAGTGAGCCCCACTAAATTCAGTGGAACTTTCTTCTGAGTAGAAATGTATAGGACTATACTGCTAATGACCTGAATAGCACATACTAGGAATATGTAGCTAGACTGCGTATTCTGTCCTTTGTTCGAGAATGCACCAGCCCTCCACATGTAAATAAGATGAAAAAATTGCTAACTTTTGACTTATCTCCACAGGACTTTTTTTTTTTTAACTTCGGCTGTATCCACAATAGAAAAGCCAATGCATAAGTACTTCTCAGCATTCCAGGGGAGGAGACAATATAGCCATTTAGAGATTCAGAGTAACTACTACTTCAACTACCCCATCAAAAAGAGCAGAAAAGGCTCACTTTCAAGTGCAGAGTCTTTCATAATGGTACACCAACAGCAGCACAATTTTTCCCTCACCCTGGTAGCCACCCAAGAGAAAACAGCAGCTTTAGTGCAACTAAACTTTGTATTGGAACACCAAAGATGACTCAAACTACTCAAAGAAGCAGATTCAAAGGGTCAAAATACAAAACCTTTTAGCTTAGAAGGTACTAAGTGGCCTTTGAAAAATAGGTCTGTTTCTTGTCTGTGTAACGAAAATTAAAGCTGCTGTGCAAACATGGTAGCAGCAGTGTAATTTGTCATACTGGAATGTGAATTTACACACTTACCTGTGAACAAACATCTATGAGCACAGAACTTACTTTTCAGTAAATATGCATCAGATTATGCTGTTCAATTATGCAGACAGGTAAAAAGGTAAGAAAATTTGTGCTTAGTTGTGTAGCATAAAACACTTCCTGCTTCTTTTCAAACCTCAGTCCAGTTACTAGAGAGAATACCAAACCATTACCTTTTAGAAATTTTGGAACTGTTCCTATACAGAATTGAAGAGTCTTCCAAATAAAAAGACTGGGGGTGGGTTAAGTTTATCGCAAACAATCTCACTTCTATGGCATTTCTTCAGCACATCTCTCCAACTCATTCTTCCTTCCTTTCCATGGATCATCTTGTTTCCAGCAATGTAAGAAACAAACACATCTCCTTGTCTCAGAGGATGGCACACAATGGCTGAAATTCACTGCACTGTAAAGATGTCCCTAATGATATTAGACTTCTCTCTGTTCAGCCCCACCCCCAAAAACAGGGCAGAAGAAAGTAGAAAACGAGAGGCAAGGGTCAAATTGAATGTGCTAACATTCCCCTTTAATAACCCGACACACTAGAAGTACAGTGGCTTTATTTTGGCCAGGGGCTTGCAGGAGTCACTGGAGAGGCAGAGAGTTCATTGCCGGGCAGGCCCTGTTAGACACAGCAGAAACAGCACTGCCCTGGTTACATGTTTTATTACTACTATGATTAGCATTGGTTGGTTTGGTTGTTTTTATTTTTCCTTAAAAACCAGACACACAAGTGAGTTGATTCTAAAAGGAATATTCCAGGCCTGACCCAGCCTCCCCAGAGCCACAATGCCTGGGGCAGGTTGGAGGTGCCTAAGCACCCCTCTCCAGCCTTCCAGAATCACCCAGCCCTCAAGAGCCTCCCCTGTGTAATAAATAGTTACGCTCAGAAGCCTTGGTGCCCAGCAGGGGAGGAGGAAAGGACAGGCAAGTGGCCTGCAGATTGTGCAGCACAGTTGCACTGCGTTGCAGGCGGGGAGTGCCAGAGCACAGAGGGAGCCTTCTGTTCTTAGCAGCACAACCAGAGCCCCCAGAAAGGCAGACGGGCGCCAGCATGGGGCCACACACCCAAGCCCAGGGGGCTGGTGGCTACCCCAACACTGTGGATGGGGTAGAGAAGCAGCAGTAACCCCACCCCTCACCCCACAGCAGCTCATAGGGAGAGTGGAGAGGGAGGTACGTGGATCTGGTGAGGCAGCGGCTGCTGAGGCCCCAGGCTGGCAGAGGGTGGTAGGAAGGCGAGCAAGTGGGATGAGGAAGGGGAGGAAGAGGATGGAAGGGGGCCCTGCCAATTCTTGACTCCTGTGCCCCCTTGATGGCTGAAGGCAGCGGTGTTGGCAGAGTCCCATAGGAGAGCTGGAAGGGAGATGAAGGGGCAAGGGGAGGGCAGGTTTGTGCCCGGAGCCGGTCAGTTCTATTTGAGGCAGCGCTCAAAGTAGGTGGAGCCAATGTATCCGCCCCTCATAGAACGCTGGACGTTCTGCTCAAACAGGCGTCTGTTGTTCTGGAGGACTTCAGCAGCCTCTTTGTTCAGGGGGTCTTCAGGGTTTGGCTCCTAGGAAGGGAAGACAACACTAATAAATGACAAAGAGTTGTGTGATAACTCAAAAATTATAGCACAAGCTTTTATGATCTGGAGCCCACTCAGATGCAAATACTAACACCCTGCTTAACAAAGCTGCCTGAGATGGGCCTTTGGATGTTTTGGAATACAATTCCCATGACTTTTGGTGACACTGAGTAGGGCTGATAGGTGATTGTAAGCCTACAAGCTGCTCACCCAGGCCTTCCCCAGATCTTTTCCCTTACTCTCAAGAGGTCCATTTTAATCCAATATACATTACCTTGCACAGCAAACTGGTGTTCTATACATTACACATCTCTGTGCTTATCATGCACAACTGCAGGATCTGGCACTCTTCAAAGAATGTTTTTCTTTTAATATATCAGGTTTCTAGTTCTTAAGAATTCCTGAAACAAACTGGGAACCTTACAGGTCATGCTGCCTAAGCAAGTTTCAGAGACTGTAGAGGAAATCAAGCAGCGGGACCTCCAATGGTTTGCAGTTAGCTTAGTTTCTTATCCCTCCCTTTTGGATAATGGATGTTAAATAAATGCTTAAGAATTAGTAGACAGAAAAACAATGTGTCTCTAGTCACAGACAGGTAGAGTTGTTCACTCCAGATTTTCCTCTGCCTCACAGAATGTTGCAGTAACACTCAGAGCTCCCAAACTGAAGATTTCCCCCTACCCTCAAGACAAGGTTCCTCCTTCACCACACTGAAGGAATGTTTAGCAGGGGCCACACAAAAATAAAATTCTACTAAAATAAAATAAAATTTTCAGCAAATCACAATTTTGCATAAAGAGCAAGAGCAGTAGAGAAGACCTTTGAAAAGGACCAAGAGGGGAATAATTGAAGAGGAATCAAACAGCCGGATGGAACTAAGGGCCAGCAGGATTGTGAACTGTACTGAGTGCGGGCCACATGGACAAGCCCTTCCTCTTTGGGATGCTAAGGCATCTGGAGATGATGGCCACCTATTTTCAGATTACTATATGCAGCTATGAAGCTAGTTTAAGTTTACATCGTTTACAATCAAACATGCCAAGCATGAATCGCAGCAATCCAGGCCCTTCCCTCAAGGCAATGTCTTCCCAGGGAAACAGAGTTTGTACCCCTTGCTTCTCAAGCTTTGAGGAGCAAGAAGTCTCATCATTCAGCAGATTCATCCAAACCAAAAAGCAGGTCCGCATACAAGGAAAACTATGCAGGTTTTATAAGAGAGCCAGAACTTTCTTAACAATAAATCCAATTTAGCTATATTTGGCTGTTATAGGCAACCTATAAATACATTTATTTAAATGAATAAATATTCAATTCCCTGAACATATTCTGCCCCAGCCTGTGCACCCCTGGTATTTTGAGCTACAACTCCCATTATCCCAGAACACTGGCCATGCTAACTACGGTGAGGGAAGTTGTACTCCAAAACATTAAGACATCACCATGTTGAGGAAGCCTGCATTAATATACCATGCGTGTCTTTTTCATCAGTGTGACCAATGGCCAACTTCAGTTAACAAATTCTACTTCCTGAACTAATTTCTTTCCGATATAAAGCAAAATAGACCACCCTTAAAACAGTAAGCAAACAGAAAAGCAGAGCAATATCATCTGCAGCACACATACAAGTAAGTAGAATCAAGTCCTTCCCATGACTTTTTTCTCACTTGATCTTGCCCATTATTTAAGTCAGACCCCAATTTCTATCTAAATGAATCATGAAATGGCTTTCAGCCTCTGTAATCAAAAGCTTTCAAAATCTGGGTTTCCATTGTTTTGGGGTCAAAAAACCCTGTGTTGTTATGAGCCCAACCCACGCCCCAACTATTCCACAGCTTCCAGGAGAAAATGGAAGAATATCTTATTTATTAGATTTATTCCCCACCTTCTTTTCGTAAGAACTCAAAGCAGCTCACATCAGTCTCCTCTTGCTGCTCTCAGTCTTATCCCTACAACAACCCTCTGAGGTAAGTCAGGCTGAGTGTCTGTGACTAGCCCAAAGTCACCCAGTTGGCTCCATGGCTGAGCAGGAACTAGAATCCGGATCACCTGAGTCCCAGATCCATATTCTTAACCACTACACTACGCTGGCTCTCAACATGAAAAAAGAACAATTTTATATTATTGACACACTGGTTCTCTTCTATTTTTCATCTTAATAGAGGGAAGATTAAACTTATCAGTCAACTTTCCTGACAGCAGCAAGTCATGGCCTTAGGAAGGAGAAAAATACAAATGAAACTGAACAGAGCGGGACAAAGTAAGTCCATAAAATCCATTTAGGGTTCCATGAAAGGAAAACTTTTAAAAGAAACCAAACAAACAAAAAACCAGCAAGCTTACTGCAAGTGAATCATTGTCTCAAGCTATGAAACCAACAAAGAAGCTGGTATGCGCCACTCACTTCATTTTTCCATAATTTTGAAATTCTACTTCAGTTCAGACCTAATGAAAGCACTCGATTAGGATGGTTCAGAGATAGGATTGAATCTGCCCAGTAACAGCCCTTAGCATCCTCAAGAGGCAAGGCTCTCATCAAGAACCTACCTGGAAGAAGAAACTACTTTGCACCTTTTGTACTTGGCTACAGGGCAAGCTGAGATTTTTAGAACTACTAGGACATGTGCCTTCAAACATTTTCCTGCCTCTCCCCTTGGCCAGCAAAAGTGGTTTCCGCTTTCCCATTTCCTGGGGTGAACAGAGTCTTTGAGGGCTATGGGCAGGAACATCACATTGTGAAATCTGAGAAACTGTCCTGGGCATTTTCACAAAACCTTTTTATTTAAACAGTATTTTAAAGTTCAATAATTTTTAAGTTTAGTCACTCTGTTTTGCGATTTATTGTTTTGTTCTGTTTTATTATTTATTACAATTGTTGTTCTGATTGTCTTTTTAAATACTGTAAGCCGTCCTGAGATCTTGTATAATAGGACGGCATACAAAAGTGTTTAATCAATAAATAAATAACAAAATGACTACATGGGAGGCTTGGCAAAGGGCTGACTAGAAGGTACAGGAGGGGTAAGGGCTGCTTTCCATGGGCCAAGGCATGGGGAGGCGAGGGACGAGGCAGTGGCCAGCCAAGTGGGGTGCCTCCCACCTCTCCCCACCACGGGGGGAAGAAGCATGGCGACCGCTCAGCGGTGGCAGCTTGCACTGAGAAGGCCGCAGCAGAGGTGCGGGAGCCATGGCCCTGCTCCTGCTCCACCCGTCCACCCCCAGCTCAGTGAGGCAGCCACGGTTTGGCCTGCAGCTCAGAGACGTGGCGTATATTTTTGTGGTCTTAAAAACAAGTATGTATGTATGTATTTAAATCTTTTATATGCTATACGGTTCAGAATGGATTAACCTTATTTACATTGAACCTTTTGGGGAAATTTGACTTGGTTCACAAGCAATTCAAGTTGTGACCAGAGTCGTGGAACAGATTAAGTTCGTGAACCAAGGTACCACTGTACTTTCCTCAAAAGGAATGGCAGTTTTGCGGAATAACCCCATCACAATTCACCCACTCAGTAACTGGTTATGTGCAGTAATTTGGGGAACTCGAAGGGTGGGGAATTCAACTTCCATCAGTTTACCTGATCTTGTTTAAATCTGAATCCAATCCAAGAAACATTAGACAGTTAGAAATTTGTTCAAACCAGTCCACCTAGTTGCAGAAGCTGTCATAGCAGTCACACTGTGCCAAGACCTTACAACACGTTGGCTTTGTTGATACTGTTCAGTGCACTGTTGAGTGATAGCAAATCTCTATCTCAAGCTATTCTTGCAGGCTGGCAGACAACACAGTACACACATCCTACCCAAATACAACTATAAAAAGCTGCCTTTACTTCATGCACACTGAAAACCCACAGGCTCTTCCGATATGTATTGTGTTCTACCTTCACTGCTGATTCTCTCCCATTCCTACACCCACACAGGCTGAACGTCAATAGGTGAAAAGATGGGTTTTCTAGAAGTGCTCGCTTCATGCTCCCCTCCCTTCACGCTCTCAGCTCCACATATACTCACCAAGAAGAGATACTGCAGGCCATAAATTATAGAGTTTATTGTTAGTACAGGCTTCCAGTCCTCTCTGTGGGATAGAAAAGATAAACTGAGTACAGGGTCAGTAAAGCATCTCCAAATTAGAAATAACACAACAGTGAAAGATTTAGATTCATTGTGGAATTCTAATCATACTATCAATTTGTAGAGAACCAGAACAGTGTGCTTAAAATCCCAAATTAAAAGGGGGGTTGCCACTGTTAGGTGTGGAATCCCAAACACATTCAAATCAAATGCTCAAACTCCACTAACAATACTCCAAGGACAGAATTTGGTCTTGAAAGGCCAGTTCTAAACTTCTGCTCCCTCTAGGTTTCATTCTCTCTTCATCTCTCATTGATTATAAACCCACCCTCCGCTAAGCCACAAAAGCAACAATGAGACTTTATGAAAGCAGAACCAGAACATGTTATTGATCACTCAGACATAAACATTCTGAAAATACTAAAGCCACGAAAGAAAAAATATATTTTTCTTATGCCCTTTAAGTCAGAAAATAGAGCCTTTGTTAGTGACACTTCCTTTCAGATAGGTACATACAGGATTTCCGTATCAAATGCACAGATGCAAAATTGAGTCCTAGAAGCAAACATCTATCTTGGATTTAAGAACTCTGTATGTAAAATTATCAAAATTGACTTACCTAAAATTTCTATATAATATATCTTGAATAAAACTTGCCTTTTCCAAAACAGAGAATATTACATAGTTTTTCACTGTCACCCAAACTTCCAACTTTCTTCGGAAAAACTGAAAAATTCCTTGGGCTAGCTTATATTCCAGCCCCTAGCCCCAGTCTTTCCATTTTAACCCTAGGCCTTCACATCTCTATTTATGTCCAATCGAAAAATAAGTGGAGTCAATCAACTAGGATACATAGTGGTGTCAGGCTACACAGTTAGCTTGGAAGAGAAGTGCTTGGAGTTAAGGGAACTAGCATATGTGACCATTTTAAAAATTCTTCAAAAATTGCAAAGGCACAATACGTAAGAGTAAAGAAAGAACACAGCTAACCAGTCTGGACAGCAGAGCATGCTCTGTACCTGAGGATATTTAGGCAGACATTGCCTTCTAGATCTATGTTGGGATGATACACCATGGTTTCACACTTGACCTTGGGTGGGTCATGCGGGTAGCCTTGTCCCACCTGCAGTTAAGATACAAGGTAAAAATACACAGCTGTCAGCATTCGTGTTCACTGTAGCACATTCCACACTGCCCAGCTCCACATCAAAACCACAGCAAGTTGAGTCACCAGAAAAAAGACTCCCTCTCTCATGCATACCAAAGAGATAATTTTTTCTCCTATCTCACATGAATCACATAACATTGTATCTTAGGTTTTGCCATCTCTTTGCTTTATGTGGCTTGCATCAATGATGGCATAAATCACTTTGTGAGACATTTCCTGAGCCATATTTGGGGCTGTGAGGGAGATGATTCCTGACATTTTAATCTATGTGCAGAGTGCAATACGTGCCACAGGAGCAACCATCAATTTATGGATTTTTATATTTATGCTTTGTTTTATTCTGTTTGTGAATTGCCTGAGGAATATGATTGAAAAACCATCTGAAAATACTTAATAAATAAGTTGTTAAAACTGAGTTGTGGGGATTGTGAGCTTTCAATCCTTGTAGTGGATATACCTGCAGAGTTTCAACTGAATATAAGAGAACAAGGCCAAATGTGTTCATTGGAGAAAAGGATTCATCTTTTACATGAGGTTATGGGAAAGGGTTCCAAATCCCATGAAATGACAAACTTGGAAATCTTGAATGAAAGCTAACCTTCCCCAGCCTAGTGTCCTCCAGATGCAGAGGACAATTCTAGTATTCCTGTCTGTTCTAGCTGGCTACAAGGCTTTTGAAAGCGGAGAGGGAAATAATCAGGTATGCCACCAAGCACCCTGAGGACGGGTATTAAAAATATAACTGCTGCCATCATTAATGCGTCAAGTTCAGCAGAGAGAAGAAAATCTAAATGAATAAATGAAATTGAGAAACTGTTCAGGGTTATGCCCATTATGATTCTAAACAGCTGTACTTGTACCCAGTTTTATTGGATTATATTTAGTTATTTGTTTACCTCCCACCTCCAGTTAGCACAGAAAAATACTCAGAAGGAAAATCCTCCATCTTGCCTGGCAGCACAAGCCAATTTGAACAAAGAAAGAGTAAGCAGAAGTCTAAATGAGAGAGTTTCTTTCCTGTTTAACCTCCAAGTTAAAAGCAAGCCAGGTTCTGTGAAAAGCTACACACCCAACATTTTTCTATGTTTGCATCATTTAGCCCAACTGCTGCTGGGTTTTCAGAGAGTTGGCTTAGACATGGAGGGAGAACTAAAAGTGTTCCACATTGAGCATGTATTTATTTATTGAAACATGGTTCAGTAAAAATACTATCTTATTATTTATTAAATTGTACCCCATCCATTAGCCAGAATAATTATAACTAAAGAAACTTTTCAGAACCCCCCTGCTTTGAGCATTCAACAGCCTGTGTGCTCACAAATTTGCTCATATAATTAGCTTTAAATAAAAGTATAGGTTGTTGGGATGTAAATTCTGATCCATGAAGGAGTTATTCAGGATAGGTTTAAGCTATGCCTAATGCAGCCAAACATTCAAGGCCATGAGATACCACTGGGGAGTGTCCAATTTGTGGCCAATTCTTTCTTTCAGTCATAAGACAGCAAGGAATGGAATTTCCTGAAATATTTTTACAAAGTAAAATAAAATCATGAAGCCCAATTTGTAAGCCACGTTTTCCAGAAAAAGGTCTGAAAACAAGAAGATTGAATAGTTTATCAAAAGGAGTGGATTCTAAGAACAGCTTTCATGCCCAGTCATCCCTCTTATCTTCCCACATAAGCCCATTCATTGGCAAGTATAACTGCAAATACCACAAAACCATTTCAAAGTCAGCAAAAGGACAAAACAGCCAAAACCAAAACACCCTCAAGCAACGCGTACAGGTGTATGAATTATTCCAAATGCAGAATTTTCATAATCTCAGTGTATAATTAATTCAGAATTGCCCATTTCTGCGGAGCTTGGAACAGAATTAGGTTGGGCAACAGCCTGATTAGGACCTATCTTCCATCTCTACAAATCCCATGACAGTGAACCATTCTCCCTTGCTGTTTTGAACTTACTTCCCAACAAGTAATTTGCCCTTCACTAAACAGTCTTGAAAAGGAAATGCTTGTTTTTTTAACAGGCAGGAGATCATGGAAAATCGTTCTCTTCCTCTGCCCTACCCCATTTTCAGTTATACTTGGAACACTGTGCAGTGACATATAAGATCAAATACAGGCTGCTGCCTGCATCCCATGAAGCTCAGAGACCTTGGCCGCTAAATCCTATTTTAAGGAGGAATCCAGGGAAGCACACAATTGTGCTTCAACACCAACTTCTAGACCAACCAACCTATTATTCTTTCCCTTCTCCCCCTTATTCACGTGGCTTAGCTACTGAAAGAATTTAGCAATTTATTCCTCGTTTAACCAACCAAAGGGAGGCTGAAATGCACCAAAAGGCAGTTGTACCTTTTAAATAATGTTGATTGTGTGCCAAGACAAGCCCATACAGCCAAATGTATACCACCACCCCATTAAAACCCTAAGGCATAGAAAGAAAAGACAGGGAGGTTACTTACCTTAAAACTGAAAACAAACTTGCCACCTTTATAGAAGCCCTGTAAGGCAAGCATTAGACATTCTAAGCAAGTTTGCTTTTGTGCAAAAATGAACAAGATTCTAATAAAGATCAGGTGACAAGGTGGGGAAAACAAAACAGAAGATGGTGTAAAAACGGTGTTAAAAATCAATATACAGATGACAGCTCTATCTCTCTTTTTCATCAAACCCAGTGGCCGTTCTGAATTAGTATCTGGGCATGATAATGGACTGGATGAAGGCCAATAAACTGAGACTCAATCCAGACAAGACAGAGATGCTGTTGAGGTGGGGCGGGGGGAGGTTCATCCAGTTGGGTGATCTTCAACCTGTTCTGGATGGGGTTGCACTCCTCCTAAAGGACAAGGCTCACAATTTGGGGTTGTTTCTGGATCCAGAATGGTCGCTTGAGTTACACGTGGACTCAGTGGCACGAAGCACCTTTTATCAGCTGAGGCTAATATACCAACTGTGACTCACTCTATGAGGTAGTAATGGTCCAGAGACTTCTGTTGATTCAGCTAGGCTTCTGTTAAACAGCTAGGCTGTTGATGGGGACTGGCTCTTGAGAACATATCACACCAGTCTTCTTTCAGCTGCACTCCTTGCCAGGTTGAAGTTCAGGCCCAATTCAAACAGCTTGTTTTTAACATTTAAGGCCCCAAAAATTTGAGGTCTGGTTTTCTGAGAAACACGCCATCCCATATTTTCCTAATCAGGCCCTTAGGTCATCTTCTGAGGTCCTTCTCAGAAGATTAGCCCCCTCCAAATGAAGTAGACAGTAGCTACCAAAAGAAGAGCCTTTTCAGTTGTGGCACATCAACTAAGGAACCAGCTCTCCAAATAGGTGTGCCTGGAACCTACTCTTTATTCTTTTTAGTACCAGGTAAAAACCTTTTTTATTTGCTCAGTATTTTAATTGTTAATTTTTATTCTCAATTTTATACTGTATTTTATCTGGTATTGCTGCTGTACCTCTGGACTGATCTGAAGTGGTTGCCATGGGCCAACTGTCCCCATTTTATTTGGGGTTATTGTTTTACTGTTTGATAATTATATATTGCTTTTGTTTTTTGTATCATCATCATCATCCATTACATTTCTATATCACACATAGCCAAAGCTCTCTGGGCAGTTCACAACATTAAGTCACCCATCCAGATATGAACCAGGCCTTATCCTGCTTAGCTTCCATGTTCTTTCTAACTTTGTGAACCGCCCAGACAGCTTTTGGCTAATGGGTTGTATAGGAATGAAATGAAATCGATCAATAAAAATAAAACAACATAATATATTCTCCAATCCCCTCAAGCAGAATGCCAAATATGAAGCTATACAGCAACCTCCTCAATGCAGTGCAGCAAGGTGGTTACTTCACCAGCAGTCTTCCTATTTCCCCAGATTCTACTTATTCCTGAAGCATGGAAATCAGAATTATTTGTAACAATCTGTTATAGGCAACGAATCACAATACTTTTCAACTTCTCAATATCCACTGGTGCTAGAACTTTGGGTATATAAATTAAGCTCAACTAGAAGTGCCTGCACATGGCTTGGGTACAGCAGTGGTTTGGGAAAGGAAAGTAAGGATGTGCTGTGGCTCACTATTAGTACCTAAACAAAAAGATATTCCTGAATCTAAAGCTTGCTGAATTTTCTTGTAAAGCTACTAGACCAAAATTAATCAAAATTAGGCACTTCAAAAATTGCCCCATTTATTTTTCCTTCTTGCCACAACATTTTTATCCTCCCTTTAGGCCAAATGGTCCTACAAAATGGCTCACAGATCATTTAAAATGTGTAAAATACTTATTAAATCAGTAATCAAACTCACACAATGAATAACTAATATAAAAGAACAAGAGAATAAGCAGCAGAAAGATGCAAGAAATTCCACACAGGGCACTTTGGCCTGCTATCTAAAAATAAGGAGTGAAGAAGCAAAGTGAGCTTCCCCATCTTGGGTGAACTCCACAGTACTATGGCCACAGCCAAGATAGCCCTCCCAGGTACTGTAGGGCAGGACTTCCAAGGAAGAATGTGAAAATACAAGTAGATTCACAAGGCATGATCAAAGTTTCTATAGAGAAAACAAAGTCATGCCTCCCAAATCTTTCTGTTAGTACTACAGTTTTATCCTAGTCTTTGTATTTTTCTCTGTAGTTCTTGTAACCCATGGCTAGATCAATAACATTTTATCCACTTGTTCAATAAGTAACTTCAGCTCAATGTGCAAAAGCAGCACACATATATATATGTTGCTTTAGTGGTTGGGGTGAGGTAGTCTGATTTTTTTTAATCCTACTTACTCCTAAAGTAACATGGCGGCTGGAAGAGAGGCCAGACAAGTTGGCTATAGCCTAGCCTTAGGGTGCACCGTAAGGATTCAACGGGTGCACATAAGCAAGAGGGAGAGAGTTCAAAACAGGGACCCTCTGCGAGAGGGAGCAAGATGAAGTGTTGTTACAGACAATTTCAAATGCTACCACAGCCCCTAAGCACATAGAGTTTTAAGAAATAAAAATTCTCATAAATTCAAGTTCTCTAGAGATTTCTTACATAGCAGGAATCATGCAAGATGATCAGCAAGCTCTAGGCACAGCCTACATTCCCAGTAACAGTTGAGTTCAGAGATGCAAAGCTATTGTATGCCACTGATGGATATCATCTCCTGTCAACAAATTCAAGCTTCCTCCCTGCTCTTGCTCCAATATAGAGCTGGGGTGTTATGCAATACAGCATAACACTGTGCCCAGCGGACACAGTGGGGCTTTCCAAAATCACAAACAAAATGACAAGTCCCTGTATACTGTGTCAAGTTTGACTGCTCCTCCCGCTGCTCACCTCATGAGTCACTCACCTCATCCGGGCAGATAACTAGCTTGAAGTTGAGGAGGTCATCCTGGTCTGAAAAGTCTATTTCACATGTTTTCGGCAAATTCAATTCATTAATATCTGGGAAGAAAAGCAAAAAAACAAAAACAAAAAAGTCAGTTTGCAGAGGAAGGTTGCATTGAGAGATCAGTAGGAATTTTGACTTCCTTTTTCACACCACAAATGATTGGTATTCCCCACCACCACCTCTCTGCCCAGGGTTGCTGGCTTGCTTTGTGATTTGCTGAGAATAGTCACCACTTCATCGATAACCTTACGGTGAAAACACAGTCGTCAGCTCCTAGCAATAAGGCATTAATGAAAGATGTCTTTGGCCTGTTATACTCATAGCAAAACTCTTCTGATGTCCCTGAGCAGTCCATGGGAATTTGCTGGAAATATAGGTCTATAATGTCAAAGGGGAAAACTAGAAGCTAGCAGAACTCGAAGAGCTCTCTCACTTTGACAGAAAAGAGGAGAAACGATTTATTTTAAGGATAATGGACTTGACAAAGTGTTAAGTTGTGCCCAAGGAGAGTGGGGTCCAAACAGCCACTTGACCTTCCCCAGCCTCATGCTCTCCACATATTTTGGGCTGCAATGCCAAGAATGTCTGGGCAATGCCCAGCAGTGCTGATTGGAGCTGAAGGGGACCCATTTGAGCAAGGCCACATTAAGTTTGCCACATAGCCTTGGCCAAGCATCCTCTCTCTTGGTCTAATCAGACCCATTACTTCTTGCAAAAGGTAAGATGAAAGCATCATTTCTACTACCTTCGGTTCCCTAGAAGAAGCACAGGATAAAAAAAATAGCATTAACAAATATGCAATTGGTATACATACTAAACCCAAAGAATCATGTAATAGGAAACTAGTTAGGACATGAGCAGAGTACTTTTTTCTTGTCTTCTGAGAAAGCATCATCCATCTAGAATCTGGGGGGAAATTTCCAGGCTGGAAAGTATTCCAAACAGGGATTGAACCCCAAAATCTCTTGCAAGCAGTAACTAAGTGTTATTACCTCAGAACTCTTTAATTTGATTTTCATCTCTGTCATGAACCAAGTAGCCTTTAGCAAGCCACACATATTCTAAGCCTGTCCACCACCCATGTCTATAATAAAGACATAACAGCCAAGTTTAATCAGACCGAAGGTCTCTCTGGTCTAGCATTTTATTCAACCAGATACCTCTGGGAAGTCCACAAGTAGGACCTGAATACAATAGCACCCTTCTGCTCATGTCCCAAACATACAGAAGATTACTGCTTCTGACACTGAACATACTACATAGCTTTCAGGCCTGCTAGCCACTGAGCCTTATTCTCCAGGGGAATTTGTCTAATTCCATTTTAAAGCCATCCAAGTTGGTGTTTCTCAACACATTTTGTGGAAGTGTATGCACTCTGCAGAAATACTGAAATCACTAAAACTGACCTACCTTAAAGATACCACACAACATGGGTAAAAAGATCTGAATACTCTTACAGCACAATAGTGAAGCATCAAATACAATTATCTTACATATTTTAGAGCACAAAGCCCTGGAGCAAGTAGGCCTATCCTCTTATACTTTGCTCTGTACATACTGACAACACTAGTAAGTGTGCCACCAAAATACTATTAACTAAGTGGAGAAAAACGAGAGGTGCACCATCTGCGGGCTTTTCCCTTTGTGAATTTCTCTTCCTCTATAAAAGGAAGAGAAATTTCCCTTTCATTTCACCCCTTCCTCTCAGAACCCCCGCCCGCTCCATTCCCCAACCTTTCTGGATGCGGAGCTGCGCGGCAGAGGCTTTCTTGCTGGAGCCTTTGGTGCCTCCGGCCGATTCCTCCTCCTTCTTCTGCTGCTTGAGCGAGAAAAGCTTGATCATCCTGGCTGGTTGATGGTGTCTTGGCTTGGCTGGCTGCTTCTCGCCCTTCCGGCCCCGGCCTCGACCTCTCCCACCTAGCTACCACGGCCCGGCCCGGCCCGGCCCGGCCCTCGGGGAGGGGGCGGGAGAGGAGAGGGGGCGCCGACGCCTCCCGCGGCCTGGCCTGGCAGGGTCGGCCGAGAGGGACAGGGTGGGTGGGCGAGTGGGTAGGTGGGGCGGGCAGGCCGGGACGGGGAGGGGGAGGGAGAGGGCCTGAGGGAAACGAGAGGAAGGAGAGCAGGAAGGGGCCACGTAACCGGGGCCGTTCCACCTCAGAGCGCCAGCACCGCCGCTTTTCCTACTGCAGGCTCGGTGTGTGGGTCGGACAGCAACGGACAGCCCCCTTCGGCCCTTCCCGGAAGACCGTCGGCAACTTCCGCCTCACTGCCTCAAGATCCGCCCAGCCCGCCGCCCCTCCGGAAGTACTCGGCTCTTCACGAAAACGCTCGACCCTGTCCGGTTGCTCGAGCGCGAGGCTGCTCGGCGAGTTCCGAGTCGGCTTTCTTCTCTTCCGTCTTCCACGGGCTCAGATAGTAAGCCGGGTGCCGAGCCGAAGTCGGCAATTTCCGCCCGACCTTCGGCTCCGAGCATAGAATTCTGGGACACAAAGGGGCCCACGTGTCATAGACCCAAGCTCACACGTCAGGTTCCTAATTGAAGACATCCACGTTGCGGGCAAGGTGTGAGAAAAAGAATGGCCCAACAAGGTACTACGGAAGTTTCAGTTCCGTATGTTTCCCTTAATCTTTGTCATAGCAACCACTACAGAAATGTGGGGGTGCATTAATTTCTTGCTCACACACGCTCCCCACTGGGTTCCTGCCCCGCATATGGACATAGCCTTATGGAAAGCGGAAGTGAAGGACTGCATGTAGCACTTTATTTCTTTGATTCTTATGCGCTCACACTGTGCGCATCTGCGAGCAGAACACCATCGTCTTTGTGCTGCCGTGCAGTAGGCATTTCATCCGGTGGCAGTAGCCCCGTGTATGAGTATCCGGGAGTAAAAGCCTTTGAACTCCATCGGTTTTTGACAAAATGCATGGCATTATACTGTCAAAACCTAGTGATACAGTGCAAGGCATGCTTATCCGATACAGTGTATCGTGCTACCTTTTTCGACATTTTCCATTGCTTTTCAAAATCGAATTCCATCAACTTTATTTTTTTATGCGCAATTTTACCAAGTTGACGAGTTGATACTTTGCAAATGTTTTGGACCATAACTGCCTTCAAAACCAGCAAGTACGCTCAGGAATTAGGGCAGTCCAAGACATCTGCAGGGAACCAACTTGTCTGTGGGTCCTGGTTAAGAGTTCTAATTCGGCATCCCAGATCTTGGCGTCCTTACTCATTCGTAGTCCGTTTTAGTTTAACAGTTCGCTGCAGCAAGATGACGTTCCCTTTTCGGGAAGTAAGAAAATGCCTCTTTCCTCTCCCAATTTTTAATGAACAGCAGGTATTTAATAGAATGCTCACTCAAAACCCTTTCCTATTGCTTCATCTTGGGCTATTTCCAAATTAATTTAAACATATAGCCAAGCGTGAAAGATCTCTGCATCCCTGTCATGCATCTGCATCCCATCAACAAAACGTTGTAAAGCAGAAGTCTGGCACATTTGTTTTACAAACTTCCAGAAACTTTTAAAGCAAGCATGATCCTCCACAACCTTGGCAGTAACCTGATCCATGTAACAGGATGAGATTTTTGTGGCTGAAGAGCAGCACATGCAGGGACAAGTGCACATGCCTACAACACAGGAGCCATAGAATCTGCTCTCCAGAGAGATGTGCCTGGTGCACTTTATTCATTTCAGCGCCAGGTCAAAACCTTTTTATTCACCCAGTATGTTAATGGTTGAATGAAAGATTGTTTTATTTAATGTACTCTTATGGTCTTTTGTAAGCCATCTAGAGATCTCTCTTGGAAATAAGATGGGATAAAAATGTTTTAAATAAACAAGCATGACTTTTTTCAAAATTAAGCAGAAAGAATGTTTTTGCACTGGCAGTTTGGTTTTATCTTGGCAATTGTCCCATTAAATAAGTAAAGCTACTCCCAATCACATTCTCCTTGGGGCATATTGCTCTACAAACAATTACTTTCCCCATCCTATTCCTTAAATTTACAGCATGAACATTTATGAAGCTACTTTTTCTTAGTAAAAAGAAAAGTGCTATCCCTAACTTGATGCCTTCCAGATGTTGGATTACAACTCCCATTTGCCTTGCTGATTCAGGATAGTCACTGTCACCCAACACATCTGAAAAGCAAAGGCTAGGCTGACATTGGTAGAAAGGGAAGTGAGGAACTTCACAAGTTACTCAACTGCAGTTACTGAATGGTTTGCACTGCCTGAAAACACCCTTCTTAGGAAAGCCGACCTAAAAGTCCAGGGAATTCTGAAGGCCCTTATTTGGACTCAAGGTGTACTGAGGTGGGGGAAAGCATTGGAGCCATGTAACAGAAATGTAGGAAAAGCTCTAGGCCAGAGGCCGGCAACCTTTAACACTCAAAGAGCCATTTGGACACGTTTCCCACAGAAAACAAAATATCAGGAGCCACAAAACCCTTTTGACATCTAAAATGAAGATAACACTGCATATATCGTTTTTTACCTTTATGCTATGTATAAAAAACTATAGTGTGTTGCATTTATGAAATCAATGAACTGCTACAGAGAAAACAAATTTTTATTTCTGCATGCAACGAAAACATTTTGAACTCCGAAAAAAAAGATGCTGGGTTGAAGGTTACTTTC